CTCAGTTCCAGCCACCATACAAATAATCCCTGGCAACATCTTCACTTGGCCACGTCCAATAACCTCAAATCAGCCTTCATGTTTTGCTCTTAAGCCAACAGCAACCAGTAGCAGTTTGAAGATGTATCAAACCTGATGCACTTCATCAGCCACACTGTCAAAAATCTAGTCTGTATACGGGCCAGATCAGCTGCTGCATAATCACTTCAACCTGACATGACTCTGTCCTCTCATTCCAGGTTCCCATGGATTTCTTCCACCATCATTATTCTGCTACCTGCAAACAAAGCTGGAGAGGTGTTTGAAACCTAAGATTGTGTAGTAAAGCAGGAGGTTGCAGGGTTTTGAAGATGCCATTTTTTTGAAGATGCCATTTTCATTCTCCTGAAAGCAAGAGCCTCCCCAATCCTCTTTGTGAACTTATGAACTTGATTGGCCTTCTTTGTCATATATATAAAGCACAAGAAAAGGGTGGAGTCACCACCGCCCTTTGCATTACTGTCCTGGTTATACATTGGTTTCCAGGTAGTTGATGCCATTCCAAAAGGCAGCAAAGCCAAAAAGTTTAATCAATCATTTTGTAAAACATGCCTTGCATGTTTAGTAAGTTCACCCGTATTCAGTGGCCAGTCAAAAAACAGGACACAGGAAAGGTATATTGACAGTGGGGAGAATAATTTATGAGCCATAGTTTTCTGCCAATTTAGTATAGTGGATGCCCTGGCAGTGCAGGAAGGCCCTAAAGAGTAAAGCTGAAATCAGATACCATATCAACATGTATAATTGGCACACATTCATGAAAGTTTAACTGGGTTCAATGTGTAATTTGCAATTTTTGATTGTAAATTCCACCTTGATGCTACCTCTTCAAAAGTAGTAGACGAATTACCGTAATTTGGCAGAAAATCAAAAGGGTTTGTAGCTTACTAAAGACAAATGCCTTTACAGCAATATAAAATGTTGTATATTACATTTCATTAGGAAATCTAATATGAGTGTTTGCTGCTTTTTCCTATTCTTTCAATCTGGGAGATGAATTGATTTCAACTCAAATTTCTCCTTTTAGCATAGCCACTTTGAAAACTCTAAGAAATAGCATTTGTGTATTCAGCTGAGTGTCTCCGTGCCAATCACTTTCTATCAGTCTGGGAGGGAAGCAATAGCAAATCAATTTTGAAAAACCTTGCCAAGAAAACTGCAGGGACTTGTCCAGGCAGTCTCCAAGAATAAGACATAACTGAACAGAAAAAGAAAAAACCTGGAGGGTACCCAGGTTGGGAAAGGGTTTTATAAGGTCAGATCTTAGGGACTATTATTAATGGAAAGATAAGTTTGTTTTGAAGATATAGATTGTGATTTTGAATAATTTAACATCTCTAAGTCCTTACATTAGTCCTTCCAATATGTCTGGACTAACCCTTCTATTATCTTCTGCAAATATTATTAGATAAATTGGCAAAACTGGCGTAGAGATTGGCAGTAAGTAAGTTGCACCAAAGGTAATAATCTTTTTTCACATTTTACACAGATTTTCCATTTATAACTGCATAAAATATAACATAAACTCAACTAAATATTTTATTGCAAAGGAAGTCCCTATTACCATCTAATCAATAAGGCAGATCATGACGATTGAAATAGAATTCTACATATAGTACTCATTTCAGACTTTCTTTCTGTACTCTTCTTGATTGCATGTTAGCGAGCAAGCATAAAGATATTTTGCAGAAGTGCACACATATTTTGTTTATACAGGTGAAACTCGAAAAATTAGAATATCGTGCAAAAGTTCATTTATTTCAGTAATGCAACTTAAAAGGTGAACCTAATATATGAGATAGACTCATTACATGCAAAGCAAGATAATTCAAGCCATGATGTGTCATAAGTGAGATGATTATGGCTTACAGCTCATAAAAACCCAAATCCACAATCTCAGAAAATTAGAATATTACATGCAATCAATAAAACAAGGATTGTACATAGAACAATATCAGACCTCTGAAAAGTATAAGCATGCATATGTACTCAGTACTTGGTTTGGGCCCCTTTTGCAGCAATTACTGCCTCAATGCGGCGTGGCATGGAAGCTATCAGCCTGTGGCACTGCTGAGGTGTTATGGAAGACCAGGC